TCGGACCGATACCAATCCTCATTATTGGATTAAGTCATCGCTAATCACTTAAGTGCTGACTCACTCTTCTTTGATTGGCTGATTTGAGTATTGGATGAACATTGTCTTACTTCAGTTCGGTTTTGTTTTTCAGTCCAGCAATCTCTCCTGGAGCCCGCCAACACTGAGCCTCGCACTGAAGAGAACGCTGTGTAAAACCCGCATTCAGCAAGGTCAAAGGTCGCACAGCCGTGCCACGTGACGCACAATGTGTTCTTTCAACAACGCCCTAGCTTAGACCCCGGATCCTCCGCAACACACAGACACGCACATTTCACAGATACACAATACACTTTGTAATTTAGCTAGGTCGCCATTGATCCCGTGCAGGTCTGTCTGGAGTAGTAGTACTTTTCCTTTTGACTGTGAACCCAGGTATTTTCTACGCTTGTCTCTAAACTTAGTTAACTGGTTAATCAATCAAGTCTCTCATGTGTGTGTGTACAGCAATTTGTTGTTTTCGGTCCATTATCTGATTTATCTGTAGCAATGTAGCAATATTGATATTTTTACTGTATTTTCACAGTAGTGCTGGTGGTTTTTTTAAAATGTATTATTGTTTTCTGTGAAATGATTGTAAGCTGTGAAACGCCTAAATTAAGCCTTTTGTGTTTTTTCCACAGAGGTTCTACACCCTCATGTTTAGCAACACTTTTAATCAATACTAGGGACGGCTCAATACATGTTTTTGGGGGGTTCGATATCGATATTACAACTTGGAGTATCTGCCGATACCATTATCAATCCAATAGCTTCTTTTCTCCTTTTTTTTTTTTTTCGAATTTCGATCCTGAAATTTTGACAAATATCAAACCGATACCAATCCTGAGTACAGTGTTTCCTGTAAAGGGTTTCAGAAGTATGGGTCATGGTTTTATTGACCCAGTCAAACCACTTGCTGGTTCAGAGCCACTTGTACTGCTGTGATCTCCAGTTCTACCTGTGCACTCTACTGCACCGTTAATCCCTGTTGGTACAACTTTTTTCGTCGGACCTCCTCGCATAATCAGAAAATTAAAGTCAATGTTTACATCTTTTTTTTGTGATATGTGATATAACCCATAGTAATCTAGTATTCGTCATGAAATAATCCCAAAGAGGAGAGGAATGTACTTTATATCTAATCCCTTCTCTAAATAGCAACGCTATTAAATGAGCATTTACTTGAATTGTGGTAATTAGAGCTTAGATACGTAGCAGTACATCACAGAACAAACAGGGCTGTAAAATGCTGGAACAAACTAGTTCTGTTAGTTAAGTTAAGCCTTCAATATTTAAAGTAATACATGTAGGAACCCATA